TTAAGCTGATCAAAGAGGTCAGCAATCAAGGGAATAGGATACTTGTTTTTAACCGTTACCTTGTTGAGTGCACGGTAGTCAATGCACATTCGCAAGGAACCGTCCTTCTTCTTTTGGAAAAGGACCGGAGCTCCATAGGGCGCCTTAGAGGGCTGTATGTACCCGGCGTCTAGGAGGTCCTCGAGTTGTCTTTTGAGTTCGGCCAACTCGGGTGGCGCCATTCGGTATGGGGCCATCGCCGGTGGCTTTGCTCCGGGGGCAAGATCGATGGCGTGATCGATTCCACGCCTTGGAGGGAGCTTCTTGGGCAGCTCCTCTGGCATCACATCAACAAACTCGTTAAGGACATTACGTACCTCTCTCGGGATCGTCGGTTGATCCGGAGCATTCGCCTCGTCCGAGTTGTTGAGCTCGCGGACTGTTGCAAGGAAGCAGTCCGAGTTCTTCACCCCACGCTTGAACTGCATGGCCGTGAGTGTGGGAGTGGGTGTAGATGGGGCTGGTCGGAGAGGCACCACAGTTGGTTTATCGCAATCGATGATGACCATTGCGGTGGCAGATGCGGGAAGGAATGTACTCACGGATCGGAAGCACGTAAGGCCTAACACAATCTGAAAGTCATCCATGGGAAGGATAGTAAAGTCAGTCTTCCCTAGCCAGTCACCAATGCGGATCCGGACATCGCGAGCAATGCCGGAAGCGGATTGGGCCGGAGAGTTAACCGCTTTGACCGTCCCCCCATTCTTGTCCACCTTAAGCTTCAATCGACTCGCCTCACCTGCATCCATGAAGTTATGTGAAGCACCGGTATCGAACATAGCGGGAACGAGTTTACCGTAGATTTCGACGTCCGCATATAGGAGTCCTTTGGTCATTGGTTCCTTGTTCTTGCTAGTTCCCGGTGTTGCCTTCTTGGACAAGGTATTGAACCGGTGTAGAGACCCAACAATGGCTAGCTCCTCATCCTCGGGAACTTTGCCCTTGCCTTTCTCCTTGTCCTTGTCGGCTTGCTTGGTTACTTGTTTGGGACAATCTCGGACCCAATGTGGCCCTTGGCACAAGTAGCATGGGCTCGGTGGAAGTCTCTTCTTCGACTGTCCACCACTGCTCCCGGTGTTGGGTTTGTCGGTCCGAGCTTGTCCTTGGTTGCCTTGGTGAGAACGTGACTTGTTCCCATCTTTTGACCGAGAGGGTTGGTTCGGTCGGTTTGCGGAGTAATCCGTGAGACTCTCCACAATGGCAATGGCTGCATTCAACGTGTGAGCTTCCCGGCGCACAACTTCCATCCTAGCAAAATCTTTAATACCATCCTTGAAATGAAATAAGGCATCTTGGTCAGAAACATCTCCTAGTTCTAGTAATAATGCCGTGAAATCACGTATATAGTCAGCGATACTCCCTGTTTGACGTAGACGCCGAAACTTGGTTCGGGTCTCGTCTCGTGCATTTGTAGGCACGAATTGGTGTCGGAGAGCGGCCTTGAACTGTTCCCAAGAGACGATGGGCCGTTCTTGGTCCAGCAAGGTCCGTCTCCACCACAATTGGGCGAGGTCTCGAAGGTAGATGGCTGCGCCTTTGATTTTGATTTGTCCAGCAAGGTCCGTCTCCACCACAATTGGGCGAGGTCTCGAAGGTAGATGGCTGCGCCTTTGATTTTGATTTGTTCCCCCGAGATTCCTCCGTTGTCGAAGTATTGCTCCATTCCGAAGAGGAATGACTCCACTGCGGTGGAACTCCGAGCCCCATTGTAGGTGTTAGGTTCGGGTGCCTTGATCATTTGCTCCCTCGGTGTGCGTTCGGGCTCTCCAATAGGTGCTTGCTGTACCATTTCACGAAGGGACCTGCACTCACGAGTAAGTTCATTAACCAAATTGCGTAAACCCAATACCTCGCGGTCATGCCTCTCTTGCATGAGCCGGAATTGTTCAGCAGTCAAGCCTCGGTCGGCTTGTTGGGACTGCTTGATGTCGTCAAGGACGTGTTTGGTGGATTCCCCGACGGCGGAGATCTCCTGCTCAAGTTCGTCCATGCGTGTGTCTTGCTCAGCCTCGGATTCCTCTAGCAAGCGTAGACGTGACTCTACGGTTGGCAGATTTGCCTCGGTTGATTGAGATCGGGATCGAGTGACGATGGGGTCACGTAAGACACCACGGTCACATGCACTCTCGGCCTCGGAATTGTGGTCATGTGCGTGTTGCACGTTCTCTCCTGAACCCGACATGCCTTGTCGATTCCCTTGGATTCTCGGATACTCGATCGAAGAGTGGATAGCGGAAGCGAAAGAGAGCTGGTCCGTTTGTGAGCGAACCAGGCTCTGATACCACAAAATGTCACGGGCTTGAGGTTTAGAATCCTCAATCCGTGCGGCGAACGACCAAGTAGGACGTGAGGGAGTCCAACGAAGATCGAACAAGCCTAAGGCTCGGAGAAGGTCCGAGGTTTTGTGGAAGGGTGCGAGAAAAAGGAAGAGAGGACCGAGAAAAGCCAAGGGAAGAAAGCC